GGGCCACACACAACTAAACCCATCCAGACTACACACTCACCAGGCCACACACACTCTAACCGGGGTCCACACTACACTCTCCCCGGGGCCAAATACACTCCCAAAAGCCCACACTAAAAATCTCACCGGGTCCACCTACACCTAAAACCGGGCCCAAACTAACTCTAAAACCAGGTCCACACTACACTCTCACCGGGTCCAAACTACACTCTCACCGGGCCCACACTAAAATCTCCCCCAGGTCCACACTACACTCTCACCAGGTCCACACTACACTCCACCAGGCCCGACTACACTCTCACCCCTTTCCAAACTACACCTCACCGGTCCACACTACACTCTCCCCGGCCCGGGGACTACACTCACCGGGTCCAAACTACACCCCACCGGGTCCACAAAACACCCCACCAGGTCCAGACTACACTCACCAGGCCAGACTACACTCCACCAACCACATTACACCTCACAAAGTCCGACAAAACACCTCCCCATCCAGAACACCTCACCCGGGCCACATACACCTCACCGGGTCCACACACACTCTCACCAGGTCCAGACTCACTCCACCAGTCCAAAACACCTCACCAGGTTACCACTACACCTCACCACCCACACTACACTCCACCAGGTCCACACTCACTCCACGAGGTTCACCCTACCCCTCACCAGGTCCAGCACCTCCACCGGCCCACACAACACTATCACCGGGTCCACACTACACATCCCCAGGTCAACTACATTCTCACCGGGTCCAAACACCTACACCGGGCCACACTACACATCACCAGGCCCACACTACCTCCACCAATCCAAACACACTATCATCTGGTCCGACACACTTTCCCCAGGCCCCAGACACACCTCACCAGGCCACATACACTCCCCGGTCCAAAAATACACTCCACCGGGCCCAGACACACTCTCACCAGGTCCACACAAACACTCTAAACCAGGTCCACACTACACTATCACCAGGTCCACACTACCTCTCACCAGGCCCACACTACACTCCACCAGGTCCCCCCTACACTCTCACCATCCACATACACTCTCACCGGCCCACACACCCCACCAGCCCACCTAAAACTCTCACCAGGTCCCCCAAACCCTCACCAGGCCACACTACACTCTCACCAGGCCACACTACCTCTCACCGTCCACACTACACACACCAGGTCCAAACAACACATCACCGGGCCCCACATACCTCTCACCAGTCCCCTACACTTCACCAGGTCCACACTACATCACCAGGAAAAACCACACTCTCACCAGGCCCACACACACCCACCAGGCCCACACTACACTCTCACCAGTCCACATTTAACACTCCACCAGGTCCAACAACCACCGGGGTCCACCTACACCACTAGGTCCAACTCACCTCAAAAACCACACAAACCCTCACCAGGCCCACATAAACTCTCACAAGGTCCACAACACTCTCACCAGGTCCACACACACTCTCACCGGGTCCACACTACACTCTCACCAGGTTAAACACAAACACCACCAGGTCCACACTAAACCCCCACACCAGGTCCACACTACACTCTCCCAGGTTCACACAACATCACCAGGTCCACACTACACTCACTAGTCCACCTACCTCTCCCCGGGTCCACACTAAAACTCTCAAAAGGTCCACACACACCTCCCCAAAGTCCACCACACTCTCACCAGGTCCCACTACACCTCACCAGGTTCACACTACACTCACCAGGCCCACACTACACTCTCACCAGGTCCACACTACACTCTCACCAGGTAAAAACACCTCACCGGGTCCACACACACCCCAACCAGGTCCACACACACACCACCAGGCCACCCCTACACCTCACCCAGGTTCACACACACTCACCAGGTCCACACACCCACCAGGCCACCTACACCTCACCAGTCCACACAAACACCCCTTTTCACCTTTTCTGCTTTTTTTAACTACAATTCCCTTTTTTGCTCTGATTAAAAAAAAAAAAAATAAAAAGGGATTTATAACAAAAATTTCGTAATTTTTGATGAAGCTCGACTTTTTAAAATTAGTGTCCTCTCATCCTGTGGAATATCTAAACCCAAAATTTCACCCAGTTAGGGAAAAAAACACAAAGCAATTTATTTATTAACCCCGTGCGGAGGATGGCGACAAAGTAACATGCCCAACATGTCCGCTATATCAAAAATTAAAAAAATTTAACAAAATCATATCTTTTAAAATCTTTGAAGATACGTGACCATAGTGTTGGTATTTTTTTCCTTACCTCAACCTTTAGAGAAGAAAGGTAGTTGAAATGAAGTTAAATTCTTCATGTATCCTGATACAATTTTTAAAAAGATAAGCCTTATAATAAAAAAAAAATTATAAAAAGGTTTTTAAAAAACCTGTTCAACACTGGTATCTTTTTTAAAAAAAGTTTCCCATCCAGGGGTTTTTCAAAAAAAATTCCGGGACAAGTTATTTCCCGAATTTTTCATTGATAAAGCCCACTGGATGGGGAAACGTCTACAATAAAGATACCCAGATGTTGCACAGGTCTTTTAATTTTATCTTGCGGGATTTTTACCATTTTCCACAAAAAGGGTTTTTGATGGTAGTTAAAAAAAAATCGCATAATTGATGGTGAGATGTGTTTGATGATGATTGAGATGTGAAATTTTTGAAAGACATCACCAAAGAATGGTTCTGAAAAACCCACAAACTGAAGAATAGACATGAATCGTATGGGAACTTTTAGTGAAGAAACGTTTTCCCCCAGACATGGGTTCATAAATCCAATACAAAGCAGGAAGTATAAGGAGAGGATATTTTTAGGTAATCAGTCCCTCACCGAGTCGAATTTCGTCCATTTCTTTTTAGGAAGACAGCTAGGGGCCCAAAAGGTGGCTTATAACTGCAGTCAAAGTTTAACCAAAAAAGGGAGGCGGATCACAGTGGGACCTGCACTATTAAGAACGTCGTCCTAAGGTTGGACAATGTTGAAGAATTCTCTGTTTCAAAATCCCATGATGTTGTAGTGTCTGACAGATGTGATGAATGGTTTTGAAAAAAACCCACTTTTGTATTGGAGATGAAGCCACTGTGTGGGGAAACGTTTTTTTCGTAAAGATTCCCATACGTTGCATAAGTTTTTTTTTTTTAAAAAAAAAAAAAACCAAACCCCTATCCAACCACAATCCCTTTTTTTAAAACCAAACAATATGCCATCATCAATTTAAAACAACATCAAACACATCACCATCATCACATTACTTCACTCCCCATCATCACCACAACACATCATTAAAACGCATCATCACCCCAATTTTGCGACTTTTTTAACCCATCAAAACATTTTTTGATATTTTTTATATATCATTTTTTACATTTTATATATCATTTATATACATTTTTTTCAGAGGATACATAAGACTTTAAAATCATTCCAACTACCCATTCTTCGTCTCGAATTAAGGCAAGGTTTAAACTTGAAAAACTTTCACTAGTGGATGGCACACTGTGATCCTCCTCCTGCTGCTTCCACTCTGTATATAATCACCTTTTGGCCCAAAGCTGGAGGGGCGATTACCTCAAAAATCCTCCCACCTTATTTCCTTTTCCCGGGTTCGAATGGCGAAACGTTTTTTTCAATAAAGATTCCCAAACGTTGCATGTTTTTTTGACAATCCTACACTCTTAAAAAAAAACTTAAGCTTTCCCCAAAAGCCCGAAAAGCTAAGAAATCAAAATTGGTTTTTTAAAAATTTGCGACCCCTGCCCGCCTAATGTTCCCCTTCCCCCCTTTCCCAACCATATCCTTCTTTCCCCCGGTCCATGTTCCAGGAGTCCATCTGTCCGCCCAATACTCCCTTCCCCACTTTCCCAAGGGCTGCCTCAGCAACCATTTTCTCCTTTCCCCGGTCCATGGTCCGAGTCCATCTGTGTCCCCTCAAAGTTCTCCCTTCCCCACTTTTCCCCAAGGGGCTGCCTTTTTTAACCATATCCCTTCTTTTCCCCGGTCCTGTTTCCAGGAGCCATCGTGCCGCCTCAGATGTTCTCCTTCCCCACTTTTTCCCCAAAGGGCTGCCTTTGAACCATTCTTTTTTCCCATCCATTTTCCAGGATCCATCTGTTCCCTCAGATTTCCCCTTTCCCCCCTTTCCCAAGGGCTGCCTTTTTAACCATATCTCCCTTTTTCCCCGGTCCATGTGTCCAGAGTCCATCTTCCGCCCAATATTTTCCCCTTTCCCCCCTTTCCCAAAGGCTCCTTTTAACCCTACTTCTTTTCCCGGTCCAGTGTCCAGAGTCCACTGTGTCCCCTCAGATGTTCCTCTTCCCCCCCTTTCCCAAGTCCTTTTGTAACCAGTATCTCCTTCTTTCCCCGGTTTCCTTGGGCCAGGAGTCCTCTGTCCCCCTCAGGTATTTTCCCTTCCCCACTTTCCCCAAGGTCTGCCTCAACAACCATATCTCCTTCTTTCCCAGGCCAGTGTCCAGGGGTCCATCTGCCCCTCAGAATTTTTCCCTTTTCCCACTATCCCAAGGTCGCCCTTTTTAACCATGTCCCTTCTTTTCCCCGGGCCTGTGTCCCCAATCAATCTTTCCCCTCAGATATTCTCCCCCTTTCCCCACTTTCCCAAATTGCCTTTGTAACCATATCTACTTCTTTCCCAGGGGCCATGTGACCAGAGTCCCCTTTCCGCTTAATATCCCCCTTCCCCACTTCCCCTTGTTTTCTCGCTTTTTTCCCAGGCCATGTGTCCAGGTCAATCGTTCCCCTCAATATTTTCCCTTCCCCACTTTTCCCAAGGTCTGCCTTTGTAACCAGTATCTCCTTCTTTCCCAGGTCCCTGGTCCAGATTTCCCTCTGTCCGCCTCAATATTCTCCCTTCCCCACTTCCCAAGGGCTGCCTTTGTAACCTTTTCCTTCTTTTCCCCGTCCCTGTTCCAGAGTCAAACTGTTCCCCTCAGATATTTCTCCCTTCCCCCCCTTTCCCAATGTATGCCCTTTGTAACCAGTATCTACTTCTTTCCCAGGTCCATGTGACCAGGAGTCCCTCTTGTCCGCTTCAGATATTCCCCCTTCCCCACTTCCCCATGGTGTTCTCGCTTTTCCCAGGTCCATGTGTCCAGGAGTTAATCTGTGTCCCCTCAGATATTCTCCCTTCCCCACTTTCCCAAGGTCTGCCTTTGTAACCAGTATCTACTTCTTTCCCAGGTCCATGTGACCAGGAGTCCCTCTTGTCCGCTTCAGATATTCCCCCTTCCCCACTTCCCCATGGTGTTCTCGCTTTTCCCAGGTCCATGTGTCCAGGAGTCAATCTGTGTCCCCTCAGATATTCTCCCTTCCCCACTTTCCCAAGGTCTGCCTTTTGTAACCAGTATCTCCTTCTTTCCCAGGTCCATGTGTCCAGGAGTCCATCTGTCCGCCTCAGATATTCTCCCTTCCCCACTTTCCCAAGGTCTGCCTTTGTAACCAGTGTCTCCTTCTTTCCCAGGTCCATGTGTCCAGGAGTCAATCTGTGTCCCCTCAGATATTCTCCCTTCCCCACTTTCCCAAGGTCTGCCTTTGTAACCAGTATCTACTTCTTTCCCAGGTCCATGTGACCAGGAGTCCCTCTTGTCCGCTTCAGATATTCCCCCTTCCCCACTTCCCCATGGTGTTCTCGCTTTTCCCAGGTCCATGTGTCCAGGAGTCAATCTGTGTCCCCTCAGATATTCTCCCTTCCCCACTTCCCCAAGGTGTTCTCGCTTTTCCCAGGTCCATGTGTCCAGGAATCCATCCGTGGGCCCCCGGATGTCTCCCCTTCCTCACTTTCCTTAGGATATCTTCCAATCTCAGCCTTCCCCAGGTTATGTATCCCGAGGTCAGCTCAGCCACCCTCCGTGATCTAGCCAGATGAGAACGAGGCCTTGTTTAGCTGGTCTACGGTAGAGACTGTCCAGGTGGGTGGAATTACAGGAGGGGACACGCAGAAATCTGCGTCCTGTAATTACACGCACCAAGATAGTCTAGATCGTAGATCAGCTAGACTCAGCCAAGCCACCGTCCAGTTCGGCCACCAAGGCCTGGTCACTCAATGAAATTTTGGAAGTTCTATTTATATCATACAATTTTTCTACGTTAAATATAAGATTTTTTTACTTAATTAGCAGTTTAAATGTGTTTGTGAATGTTTTTGTGTATGTTTATGAGTGCTTGTTTGTTACTGTGTTTGTCCACCTCCACGAGAACTGTAATAAGTGTTGAACTTCTTATTTTCATTTGGTTATTTATCCTATATATCTGCAAGACGCGCAGTGAGTTACAAGCGCCGCGCACAATGGAAATATATCATTTTGTCTAACGTTTTTAGGTTATCCTGGGTAATTTACGCATATGTTAGTGTGCATGATCATTTGTGGAACTGTTCATGTATATTTGTACCTAAATAAACTTACTTATTTTCACGCTCATTTGCACATTTCTGCAACGGCAGCCTGCGGGGTCACCACCATTCATACACACACAAAAAAACGCACGTGCGCGCGCACACACACACACACACACACACACACACTCACACGTAATAAAAAAATAAAAACTAGCAGCTGGGGATATTCGATCCCTTGACGTGGACAACTAACATGGTGGGTCTTACCCACTGGTTCAGTGCGTCTCCGACTTACTAACATTCTACTTTTTAAAAAATGTCATTTTTCCGGGGTGATGTGAAAAATGTTAGCAGAATTAAAAAATTTAAATTGTTGTATTTTTAATGTATGCGATTTTTAATTGTTAGTTTTTAAAATTATCCCTTGAATGCTGAAAGCAACAATGTTGTTTTTTAAACTTTTTTTAAATGTTTATCCCATTAAAAATTACTTAATGTTTAAGGGGTATTTTCGTTGAAAAACTGGTAACTTTAACAAATTTTTTTTTGGTTTTAAAATTTTTTTTTAAAAGTTTTTTGGGGTTTTCCTTTAAATCAAATAAAATCTTAGAATGACTTACTTTGGGCAGAAAGTAAAGAGAAAAATAACTTTAAAAAAAAAGGGAAAACCAAAAAGTTTTTTTTTTTTTTAGAAATAAAGCTTTTTGAGGATTGGCAAGGGGTTCTGGAAGAAATCTGGGGGAGTATAAAGGGTTTTCGGAAGAAAGTTGAGGGTATCAAAAATTTTTGGGAAGAAAGTTGGGGAGTGGAAAGAGCCCCGGGAAGAGGGTTGGGGAGTGGCAAGAGCCAGGAAGAGATTGAGGAGGGGGCAAGATTTTCCGGAAGAAATTTTGGGGGTTGGAAGAGCCCGGAAAAAGAGTAGAGGAGTGGCAAACCTCCAAAAAGGAAATTTGAGGAGTGGCAAGGCTCCGGAAAAAAGTTGGGGGAGGGGGCAAGAGCCCCGGGAAAGAGAGGTGAGGAGTGGCAAGAGCCCCGGGAAAAAGAGTTGAGGATGGCAAGAGCCCCGGGAAAAAGAGCTGGGGAAAGTGGAAAGAGCCCCGAAGAGAGGTGGGAGGGGGCCAAAAGCCCGGGAAAGAGAGTTGAGGAGGGCATGATTCCGGGAAAGAGGGGTTGAGGGTGGCAAGAGCTCCAGAAAAAAGTTGGGGGAGGGGCAAGAGCCCCAGAAAAAAAGTTGAGGAGATCAAGAGCTCTGGAAGAAAGTTAAGTCCAGCAAATTACTTTTACTTTTTTTACCTGCAGAAAAATTTTGTCGTTGAAATAAAATTTTTAAATTAATATAAAAATTGGAATCTTCGAAGTCTTTTAAAAAAATATAGAATGCCCTCATAAATTTGGGCTTCAAATTTTTAAAAATGGTTTTTTTTTTCCGACCAAACGGCTCACACTGTTTTTTGGTTGCCCTAAATCCGGGTTTTTAATCAGTTTTTTGAATGAAAAAAAATGATTTAAATTTTTCCCCTTTAAAAAACTAATAAAAATGTTCCTTTTTATTGTCTTAAACTTTATTTAAAAATTTTTTATTTTTTAAAATAAAGAAAATTTAACCCACATTTGTTTACTTTAAATAAATGAAAATTAAAAATTTTTAATGAAATTTTTAAAAACTTGGGAATCAGATCAGTTACTCGAGATTGATTTTTTTGATGCGTTTAACTTTTATTATTGATAAACTTTATTAAAACACAGTTTGTCTTTAACATTGATCTTTTAAAATTTTAAAATTTCCCCAAATTTTTTTCTTTTTAAGTAAATTCCCTTCCCCTTTATAAAAACTAGTGAATGTCTCTTTGATCAACTCACAAACACAATTTTTAATCAATTTTAAGTTTTTTGGATTAATTTGAGCAGCCTGGTGCCAATTTGCCTTTTTTGAAATTTTTTAAAATCGAATTGGGGGTTTTTAAAATTTTTTTTTTTGGGTTTTTAAATAAAATTATAAACACATAAAGGGGAAAAAACAAAGGGAAAAAAAATAAAAATCCCCCATTTATGGAAATTTTTAAATTTAACTAAAAGGGACATTTTCCCCTATTTTTGGGAACAATTTTAAAAATCTTTCGTTTGCTTTATCAAAGATTTTTTTTTTTATTTTCCCAGGAACAAACGAAATTCGATAAACCCTTAAAAATTTTTCAAAACTTTTTTGTAGTTTATTTTTGGTGCAAATTTATGGGGAAAATTTTTACATTAAATTGGTGCCCTTTTGTACAGTGTTACATAGGTCATTTTCCTTTTTTTTTGGGTTTCCCAAGTGGGTTTTTCCCCTCCCCTTATTCCATCGCCCGTCTATTCCATAGATCTGGGTGGGTTTCCCTGACATTTTCCGCCCGCCCTAAGGGGTTTTCCCCCCTCTCTTTTATTCTGTCGCCCGGGAAACGGGTTTCCCGCCATTTTTTCGTTATATTTCGTCATTTTCCCCCCGCCCATTTTTCCATCGCCCGGGAAGGTTTTCCCCTGTCTTTTTCATCGTCGCCATAGCCAGGTTTCCTGTCATATTTTTTTGGGCCCCAGGAAGGGCTTTCCCTGTAAACCATTCAGTCGCCCGGGAAAGGGCTTTCCCGGGACTTTTTCTATTACCTTGATCTTTTTTTTTTTTTCGTTTGTCCTATATCGTCCCCAAAGGAGGGTTTTCCCTCTATTTTTTCGTCACACAACGATTTTTCCCCTTGTCATATTTCGTCGACCTGTAGGGGTTTTCCCTGTCATTTTTCGTCGCCCTGGGGGGGTTTTTTTCTGCCACAATCCCCGCATTTTTTGGGGTTTTCCTTATGTATTTCGTACCCTGGACGGTTTTTCCCTTTAAAAAATTTTCGGGGCCCTGTACTTTTTCCATGATATATTTCGTTGCCCTGGACGGATTTTTCCTGTTAAAATTCGTCGCCCTGTAGGGGGGGTTTCCATGTTTTTTATCCCTCCCCCCCCCCCTGGATAGGTTTTCCCTTGTAAAATTTTTTTGGCCCGTCCTGGATGGGTTTTTCCCCCGCCCTTACTTCTTCGCTATTGGGGGGTTTCCCTTTACATTTCTTCGCCCAGAATTCCCTTTTCTCTCTCATATTTCGTTCAACTGGAGAGTTTACTCTTTAAAATATTGTCGCCCTTGACGGGTTTCCCTCCCCATATTTCGTCCCCCTTTTACGGGTTTCACTGATATAGTTGTCGCCCCGGAAGGGTTTCCCTGAAATTACCCTTCCCGCCCAATACGAGTTTCCCTTCTTTTTCCCTTTGGCCATAGCCGGGTTTCCCTGCATATTTCTTCACCCAGGACGGTTTTCCCCCTGCCCATATTTCCCCACCCGGGGAGGGGGGGTTCTCTGCCCAAAATTCCCAGTCCCCTTGGACGGTTTTCCTTATCAAAATCTATCTATTTCATAAACCAAAGGATTATTTTCCCCCCTTCATATTTCGCCCGCCCTGTACGGGTTTCCCATAATATATTTCGTGCCCTGGGGGGGTTTTTCCCGGTCATTTTTCGTTGCCCTAAAACGGTTTCCCTGTCATTTTTTCTTTAACATTGACGGGTTTTTCCCTTTTAAATATCGTCGCCGGGGAGGGTTTATCTCTGTATATTCGGGCCCACCCTGGATGGCTTTCCCCTGTCTATCCATCGCCCTTGATTTGCTCTCGCTGTCATTTTTTATCGCCATGGATTTTTTTCCTGTTTTAAATTTTGCGCCCCTGAGGGGTTTCCTCTTATATAACGTTCCCCTGGAGGGGGTTTCACTGTCATATTTCGTCGCCCTAAGGGGTTTTCCCTCTCATTTTTTCATCGCCCGGGAAACAGGTTTTCCTGTCATTTTTCCCGCGCCCCCTGGACGGGTTTTTTGCTCTAAAATTTTCGTTTTGCCCAAGACGGGTTTTTTTCTCTCATTTTTCTTCGTTATGGACGTATTTGGGTTTCCAAAAATTCCCATCACCCGGGAAAGGGTTTTTCCCTGTCTTTTTTTCATGGGCCTAGGGGTTTTTTCCTGGGATATTTCATCTCCCTCGACGGGTTTCATTGTGATTTTTCGAAAGCCCGAAGGGGTTTTCCCTCTGAAATATTTCGTTCCCCTGGAGGGTTTAAACGGGCCCTTTTTTTAAAAAGCAATGGGACGGATTTTTTGTCTTTTTTTTCCCCCTTAAACGTTTCAACCCCTCTCATATTTGGTCGCCCTGGATAAATTTTCCCTGTTATTTTTCGTCCCCCATTTTGGGGGGTTCCCCTTGTCATTTTTCGTCCCCTCTGGAGGGGAAATTCCCTGTCTTTTTTTCAGGGCCCCTGGAGGGGGTTTACCTGTGATTTTTCTTTTCTCCCTCTACGTTTTTTCCTTGCCCTTATTTGTCTTTTTCCTTTCCCCCTTTTTACCCCCCGTAAATTTTCGCCCCGCCCCTGAAGGGATTTCGCTCCCGAAATTTCATCGGGCTTAAACAGGTTTCCCCTGTCATTTTTTTATCAAAAGGGCGGTTCCCTGGAAATATCGTCCCCCCTTGGAGGGGTTTTTATCGTCAAAATTCCCAGCCCCCCTGGATGGCTTTCCCTGCCCAATTTTTCCATCCCCCATTGACGGGTTTTTACTCCCCAATTTTTGCTTGGCCTGGATTATTTTTCTCTTTTTATTTTTTTTGTCTCATTAAAGGGTTTTCCCC